AGAACAATGTTTGATAAATGGAGAAAAGTCTTAGCAGTTTGTGATTCTGAGTAAAGGATATGTACGATTTTGTATTATTATTTGTATTCTCAATTTTAATTCTTTCAATTTTTCTTTATTCTTGAAATTTTTCCAAACAAATGTTAAAAAAAAAAATTAAGCCCCAAATTCTGCGTATGGAATTGGAGGCCCTTAAAGTTTGACTTAGTTGATCTCTCCAGACTTTTAGTTCCCCAAACACTGTACTGAAACAGATACTTTCTTAATCACAGCATGGATTTTCATTCAAGACTTGTAACTTTGCTATATTTTTGCATAGTTATTATCTACTGATCCTGTAAAGCTCAGCTCAATGATTGTATCCAGGTTTCCAAGTCAGAATTAAATGTCCCTATTCATATATAGATATTATCACCATGTTTATAAATTCAGAATATGGAATAATGCTTATATTATGCTCATATTATGTATTCAATGAATGTTTGAAATAATTAATTAGAATTAATTTTTAATCATGAATTACTGCTAATTGAGTATGGTTCCAGATTAAATTTTCTGCCTATCCTTTATTGCTGAAGAAAAGTCCTATCTACTTTCTTGTGGATAACTTTGTAGAGATAAGAAGCCTTCCAAATCCATATTTTCAGAAGGAAAGCTTATAGGTTATTAAAATTGAGAACAAAATTAAGAGACTGAATTAGGAGGAAGAAGAAAGGAAGAGAGGTAAAGAGAATGATGCCTTAGTTTAAACCAGGGGATTTAAATGAAGAATTGACTTACACGAGAAGGGCTGGGAAGAACCAGGAGAAGGTAAGGGTGAAGTTACACATTTAAATGGTTACCAGGTAGGCAGGTTAACATATGAGTCTGGAATTAAGAGAGAAATCATGAATATAGAAACTGGAGAGTCATCAGTATATACGGAGAATTTAAAACTCCAGGACGGAATTACATGCCTTCGGGAAAAGGACAGCAGGAGAGGAAAGGGAATCCCAGAGCCGGCTCACCGAGCTCCGCTGTTACATGTGAGACAGAAGAGGGGATGTCTTACCGCACTCCGCTGTTACATGTGAGACAGAAGAGGGGATGTCTTACCGCGCTCCGCTGTTACATGTGAGACAGAAGAGGGGATGTCTTACCGCGCTCCGCTGTTACATGTGAGACAGAAGAGGGGATGTCTTACCGCGCTCCGCTGTTACATGTGAGACAGAAGAGGGGATGTCTTACCCGCGCTCCGCTGTTACATGTGAGACAGAAGAGGGGATGTCTTACCGCGCTCCGCTGTTACATGTGAGACAGAAGAGGGATGTCTTACCGCGCTCCGCTGTTACATGTGAGACAGAAGAGGGGATGTCTTACCGCGCTCCGCTGTTACATGTGAGACAGAAGAGGGAATGTCTTACCGCGCTCCGCTGTACATGTGAGACAGAAGAGGGGATGTCTTACCGCACTCCACTGTTACATGTGAGACAGAAGAGGGGATGTCTTACCGCACTCCGCTGTTACATGTGAGACAGAAGAGGGGATGTCTTACCGCGCTCCGCTGTTACATGTGAGACAGAAGAGGGGATGTCAGCAAAGGAGAAGGAAAGAGAGTAGCCTGTGAGTAAAGAAAACCAAGATCGGGCCCAGCCAATGTGGTTTAGTGGTTGAGGGTCGACCCATGCACCAAGAGGTCACCGGTTCGATTCCCGGTGAGGATACATGCCCAGGTTGTGGGGGGTATGCAGGACGCAACAAATCAATGTTTTCTCTTATTGATGTTTCTGTCTCTTTCCCTGTCCTTTGCTCTCTCTATAATATCAATAAAGAGTAAAATTTTTTTTAAAAAAAGAAAACCAAGATCTTGAGGACAATAGATTAGTGTATTATTGTCCTCCATCCTCCCCAGTCCTGATGCCCCTCTACCACCCTACTCCCTGTTCCTACATGTCTATGTTTGAAGGTCACAACTATTTTCTACACTTCAACTTGTATCTGTGTTTCGAGTTTCATGGAACAAGACTGACTTCAAGTGACCATACCCTCATCTGAGCCTTAAAACCAATGTAGACAGAAAGAACATAATTAAGGAGAAAAAAATAAAATGAAATTGAGAAACATTCCTATGTACAGATTAATAAAGTTTTAGTCTACATGAGTACACATGAACATACACAAATACACACACAAGTGCTGTTGGGTAGTGGTATCATGCAAGATACCATACACACACACACACACACACACACACACAACATTAGTTACAAAATTACTCATTTACTGAGTGTTTACAATTGATGGAAATTTAAATAAATGCTGACAAGTTTTAAGGAATACAGAGTTTAATTCTGTTAGAGTGAAAATGCTATTTCTATAATTACTTCTGGTGAATACTCTACAATATGACGATGGCTATATATCTTCACTGAAAATATGTTTTAAAGCTAAAAATATATAAAACTATAAAATTAATGATCTGAGTTTTAGTTTTGGTGTTTGCTATTTCTAGAAGATATCTTATGTGTTAAAGAATTAAACCCTTTATCTATGGGTCAGCTACTGTTTGGGTGTACTGTATTCCTAGCCATTTTATCAATTGACTTCAATTTTTACCTAGAACAATAGACATTTCTATAATAATAGCATGATTCATTCACTGTGTTCAATCTATTCAAGGTATTTTAAGACTATAAAAGTCTAAAGTGTCAGATTCTGACAATCTTCATATCCATATATTGCTGTGAACTTACAACTTGCCCCAAATCACTAGACATCTTGTGTTCTTGACACATGCATTATATTCAATCACTCTATCAAAATAAAGTGGGACTTCTCATATTGAGTCCAATATCACAGAGCTAAAAATAATAAACATCAATTTACTGTTTGGTATAAGAAAGCAATGAAGAAAAACATCCACTTTGCCAAGAAGATAAATAAGACTTTAGAAATAACTTTTGAATATATACACATACATTTTACATTTTTAGTGTTAAGTAAGATGATGTTATTAATAATTTTAAATAAAACATTATGAATAAATGGTTATGTAAACTTTTATAAGAACGTTAAAATGTCCTGGCTGGTGTGGCTCAGAGGTTGAGCATTGACCTGTGCACCAGAAGGTCCCCAGTTCAATTCCCAGTTAGGGCACATGCTTGGGTTGCAAGTTCCAACCCCAGGAGGGAGCGTGCAAGAGGCAGCCAATCAATGTTTCCCTCATCATCGATGTTTCTCTCTCTCCCTCTCCCGTCTTCTCTCTGAAATCCATAAAAACATATTATAAATAATAATAAAAAATGTTAAAATGTGTTTTAAAAGCAAACTTTAGGTCCTTAAAACAATCCTTACAAAATTATTAGAAGGCATTTTTAATATGAAATAAAAATACTGACCTTCATTTAGCCATATGCCTAAATCTGTCTTTCCTGAGAAGAAAATAAATAAATAACAACACTTTGTTCAACACAGATTTTTGTCTGTATCATAATTAGAAATGCAGATGGGAGTTTTAAATCAGGCAGTGGTGGACAGGAGGAAAGGCATTTGCTTTAAAACAGTTGGGAGTGATTTCAAGCTCAAATCCTTTGAAATGAAACAAGGTCCATTTGTAATAGAATAGACTACAATGGCACATGATTTGTTTAGTTGGCTCAAGTTTAATTAAGACTAACATGCATTCGTAGGACAAAAGGAAACTAAAGAACAGACATTGGTAAGGGATCATCAAGAAAAATGAATTGATTTCCATAACCAACATATTAAGGCTCTCAAAATCTCTCCAAGAGCTCATCTAACATTTCTCTGGGACCATTTTCACCTTGAAAATGGAAACGTGCTAAACTATGAGATGTGGGTCTATGAGAACTTAAGATTACCCATATGTACATACATTTAAAATTGAGTGTTTTGAGACATAGGGAATTGAGGACTTTATATCTATAAATTATTTGGAATTTCTCTAAACATTTCTTTCTATCCAGGGAATACAAATAAAAATCTTATAAATAATTCTTCAAAATAGAAATATTGCTAAACAGCTAATGTTTGCAAAATTTTAAATTACATATTATATCCCTGGTATTTTTAAAAAATTAAATATTAGAAACTATGGAATATCCTACTCTTAGTCAGCTTATATGGGCCTAACATTTGCCTTCATAAAACAATTAGATAATAATGATTAATGTAATATTAAATGAAGGCAATTATCTTAAACTGTTTGTATAATGATGCTGATCTGTAGACACAGTGATGGGTAGTACCACCACAATAATGATACTAGTTTGGTCAAATGAAGCTACATTACTAAAGAAACATTATTAGTAAGTAAAATTACATATGTTCTATCTTCATTAACTAGAAAATAAATGTATTCAAAAAGTAAATTTCTAGATTTTTTTCTGTTCTCCATGACACTATTCACAGAGTTTCTCAATTCCTGATTTTGCTTAGTGACAAGATGAAGCATACAGGACTTAGACAAATCTAGAGCAATAGCTTTGCTTAAAATGTATCCCTGAGTTAATTATTCTCTGGTTTCTAATTCCTGCATTGTGACATAAATTAAAAATGACCTGGAAAGTATTATGCTGAGTGAAATAAGCCGGTCAGAAAAAGGCAAGTATCATATGATCTCACTTATATGTGGAATTTAATGAACAAAAATAAACTGATTTAAAAAAATAGATCCACAGTATCTCAGCAGCCACTGAAGCGGAAGGAACTACATGTGTGCATGCATGCATGCGTGTGTGTGTGTGTGTGTGTATGCGCGCATGCACGCATTAGTGCACACGTAGCTGTGTGGACAAGGAGGTGTTGGCAGCTCCAGTTGCAAGTCCTTAGACTCCATTTGCTATTCTCTCTCCCCCATACCTATCTGGTGGTGGTGGGCGTTTATATTTGCGTTTCTTTTCATTCATTTCCAAATCTTTTACAATTTGGGGGTTGGGAGTAGTGGGAAAGGCAGGACAGGGTAATGGAGGAGAGTAGTAGCACCAGAGCAGGAGGGGAACATGGAGATGAGGAACAGGATTAACCTGCAGTTCAGGAACAGAGCCCCGGAAGAGGTGACACAGTTAGTCCTTGATAATTGCCATTGTGACAATGGGGAAATTGAAAGCCTGAATGATACTTTTAAAAAACTAAAGCTTCTGCCCTGGCCAGTTTGGCTCAGCAGTTGAGCGTTGGCCTGCGGACCAGAGAGTCCCAGGTTCTGCTCCCGCTAGGGGCACATCCCACCAAAAAACAAACAAACAAACAAACAAAAAACTAGAGCTTCTGAGTATGATTAACGTGGACCTAAGGTCACTGGCCCGGCTTCCCAACTTAAATAAACTTCAAAAGTTGGAACTTGCTAACAATAGAATTTCTGGAGGGTTGGAGGTCCTGGCAGAGAAATGTCCTAATCTTACTCACCTCAATCCGAGTGGAAACAAAATCAAAGCTTTCAGTGCACTAGAAGCTCTGCAAAATCTTAAAAATTTGAAAAATTTTGACTTGTTTAGCTGTGAGATTACAACCCTAGAAGATTATAGGGAAAGTATTTTTGAATTGCTGCAGCAAATCACCCTCTTAAATGGATTTGATCAGGAGGATAACAAAGCACCAGACTCAGGATCGGAGGATGATGAGGATGGAGATGAAGATGATGAAGAGGAAGATGAAACTGGTCCATTTGAAGGATATGAGGAAGAGGAGGAGGAAGAAGAAGAGGAGGAGGATGAAGATGAAGCAGGCTCAGAATTGGGAGAGGGAGAAGAGGAAGTGGGCCTCTCATACTTAATGAGAGAGGAAATTCAGGATGAAGATGATGATGACTATGTTGAAGAAGTGGAAGAAGAAGAAGGAGGAGGAGGAAAAGAAGAAGGAGAAGGAGAATAAAAAGAAGAAGGGGAAGAAGAAAGTGTTCAAGGGGAAAAGCGAAAACGAGATGCTGAAGATGATGGAGAAGAAGATGACTAGATCATTCTAAGACCAGATTCCCCAAATTCCTGGGTGTGCAATAGAGTGGTCACATCTTGTTTCTTCATGTATAATAGCTATCCCTACAGAAGATAACGTAATTTTTATAGGAAAAGTGTGGTTTTACTATTTTTGCCTTATCATTCCAAATAAGATTTAATAGTCTGTTAATGATCATACTGTATGTAGAAAAATGTTCATTGATGCCATTATAAAATTCCCTAGCAATTTTTTTAGAATCTTAATTTTTCTAATACAAGTTTACTGTATTAGTCATTTTAACCCATAATTAAAACATGATGGCATAGTATGGTGCATTTTATTCATAAGGTTTTAAAGTTATTTATGAATTAAGTGAAATCACAGTCAGCTGGACTATGAAATAAAAATAGTCTCTTGAATGATTAAGTTGGTTATTTTTTTAGAGGTGACCCAGAGATTTTTAGTTTGAAGGCAATGTTTTTTTGTGGTTTTTTTTTTTTTTTTTTTTGCTAAGGGGTTTTGGGTGCTTATTTGTCACATGAGTAACTTGGAAAGTAGGGGCAGAATAGTAAAGGTTCTATTCCACAGTATAGTTCATGACTTTGGGGAGGCTTCTGAAACCTTTTATGCCAGGTGACTAATAAGATTTTCTTTTTGAAGGAAAAACTGCTTATAGTAAGTTCAGAGACATGCAAGTAAACCCTTTGTTCTTAAGCTGAATGAAGATCATGACATGCTAACAGTTGTTTATTTTATTTTTTCAGTGTGCATTTTGCATTTTCCTTTCAGCAATTCCTTTATGATCACCTTCCTTTCTTGTTTCACTCCTCCTTCTCAAAAAAAAAAAAAAAAAAAGTTGGAAAATTTATGAATACCCAGGAAAACCTTTATTCTCTTACCTCAACTACCTTTTCAGACCTGTCTCAGTTTTTAAAAAGCTAAGTGAAACAAACAGAGTATTTTCTGAGATACGAATATTATTATCAATGAGTTTCATGCAGCAGACTCTGCTCAATGGAAATCTTTCTTGGTTGACAAGATGTATAGACTGCAGAAGGATGAAGAAAGAAAAGAAGCTGGTGGGCTTTTGGAAGCAGCAACAGTGTCCCTCAAAACTCAGAATAATTGCCTGCTGATAATCAATGAGACATTCAAGTCAAAATTTTAAGTTAGTTTCCCAAATGACTTAGCTACCCCTCTGCAAGTACCTCCAATTTTTCTGAATAGAAACTTTAATTATTCTTTCTATAATTTAAAGCATTACCAGGTACAGCATTTGACTGGAATATATATTAAGCAGGGAGGAAAAGATTTAAAACTAAATCCATATTAAAATTAAGATTTTTTTCAAGTGGATGTCCATTAAAAGTAGAAAAATATTTGGGAAAAGTATGAGTGTGTGTTTTCTTATATGACTATTAATTATAATATGAGGAGACAAGTTAATTTCCCATTTTGTTGTGGAGGCTCTATGTTCAAGGCAATTGCTTTTTTAATCTTGGCTCTCTAAATGTCCTAAATTCCCCTGACCCCACCCCCTTGGTTTTGAATACTTGTAAGTTTTTTTTAAGTTAGTGTCAGCAAATTAACTGAGGTTACAATTCCATACTGGGACAATTTAAATTCCTGAGTATAGTACTGCTTCTTTTTTAGTTTAAAAATGTATGACTTGGGATTTAAAGTAAAAATTAAGAGTTATTTGTAGATAATCAAAAAATGTTGCACAACTGACCAAAATAAAACTTTTGGGATAACTTTAGTGGGGGGATTCAAATATCCAAATAGCTAACATTTTACTCCTTTTTAATAATTGACATACCCTAAGAATTCTCATCACATTGTTTGCCAGATTATAAAATACTTATTTTTAACATTAAATTTATATATTGATTTTCTTATCAACCATCATATTGTGCAATCAAAATTAAGAGTCCTTTGGTTTGTTTGAACAATGTGTAAGAGCCTCCAAATAACTTTTTAAGATTTACTTAGCTTTGTGGGTGATATTTTCATGCAAATAAGTGAGAGTGGGTGTTATATTTTGTAGTTGTTTTCCCGTCCTATTTTAATGCTTCTTTGTATCGCAGTATGTATATAGTTAAATTCTCAAAACTCTCCTCAATAACCTTTGAAGTTAAAGCTTTTTTGCAACTGTGTTTTGAATAAAGCCATGACAGTGTTAAACAAAAATACAGTACTTCTGATTATTCTTTTATTGTTTCTGACTGTTCCCTGTTTTTTGTTTTTTTTGTGACTGCTGTAAATTAAAGGTTTTGAAATTGAATTGCTTTGAATAAATTGAAGATTTGTTGTTTTAAAAAAAAAATAGATCCAGACACATGGAAGCAGAAAACAGACCGACAAACCTCCAAAGGAAACGGGGAGGCAGGGCAGGAAGAGGAAAACTAAAGAACTGGTACGCATATGTGCATAATCCATGGACACAGACGACAGTGTGGTGAAGGCAGGGGCGGAGGGGGGCAGGAACAGGGAGAAGGGGTCATCGGGAGGAAAAGGGTGGGGCATCTCTAATATTTTCAACAGTAAAGATAAATTTAAAAACAATAATAATCTATTAACCTTTTGTTATAAAGATAGATTTGGTTCATAAACAGCCATCAACTTCCTACTCCTTCACCCCATAGTTTAAACATTATTCTTAGTTCCTGCATATCTTATAATATTTAACTTTAAATTTTTAAAAATACTTAAATATCTGTTATAGTTCCATCAACTATTAATTATATCTTTATTTTTCTGCATGTAAAATTAATATACTAATGCAACTATGTGCTTGTCTTCATGTCTGAATTTGTCATGTGTTACTTTTACTTTTATATTGACAAGAATCTATTAACATTCTATTGTATGACCATAATTAAACTATTTGTACATAGGTTTATCCTAAACATTGAAAATCAATAAATAATATGTATAACATTTTGATTATATAACTATTGTTCACTGCAGAGCCAAATGTATGTCAGAATTATATACGTTTCTGACCAATACGACATATAACCCTATTCCTCTCAAAAATATTCATATAGATTTTCCTTTCTTAGTTATTGATCAAAATTAAGATTCACTTTACTCAGCTTCATATTTTGATCATGTATTATTCCAGTTTTTTTTCCCCATAGAATTTCTGATTTTTGGTTTTGTTTTTTCTGCTCCTTATTAAGTAAAGAAACATTTTCTGTCCTTATGATATTCCAAATTTAACTTGCTCTAGCCATTATTTGTAAACTACCTCATTATTAAAGTTCATTAATTTCATACTCTATTTTAAATTCGAGGTTTTATATTTGAATTATAACTTTCATATATATATATATAGAGAGAGAGAATTTATTTATGTTTCTAGGAAACATTTGCTTTTTATTGTTCTTTGTATCCTTCCAGAAGCCTCTGTTCTTCTACTTCTAATTGAATCTTTTTTTGGATGGCTGTATAATTTCATTCTTATTTCTTCTATTCATGACTCTTTTGAATCATTGTTTTTCAGATTCTATATCACCATTTTTCTTGTTCCCCCCTCCCCATTTTGTTTAGTAACATCTTAAAGTAGTTTTCTAAGAAAGCATACATGAGAGGTACACTTTGTGAGCCCATGCAATAGAGAGGTCTTGATTTTGTTCGCACAATTCATTTGACAGATTAAGTTTACAAGGTTGGACACAATTTTCTAAAAATGTTAAAGGTACTTTGTCATCTTCTGCTACTATCCTGAGCTGCAGATGAGAATTCTGAGGTCAATCTTAGTCTCATACCTTTGAAGATATTATGCTTTTTATTTTTACTTTGTTAGCTTGTTGATTTTTAATCTTCAGAAGCTTGTAAGTTTTTTATGTTTCTTGTGAAAATAACATAACATTTTAGAAATAATTTAATAGAATATGATTACTAGAGAAGGAGCAGGCTTACATGTTTTTAAGATTAAAAAATAAAAAATGACTATATTGTGACATTTCAGGTGTGCCTAAAGGTCTCTGTTCCTGTCCACTTTACAAAAGTCCCAGTATTGGATTAGCTTGGTATATAAACATGCCCATAACTAAGTTTCATTTATTAGAAATAAGACAGATATTTTTAGTCTCCCGCTAATATAAAAATTAGAAATAGTAGTTCAATTCATCAGCATCTGTTGAGTGCCTTAGCCAGTGCATTAAGCGCTAGAGATACACAGGTACATAAAAAATAATTTTCCCCAGGAGGAAGCCACTTAGAACATTTACATTTATTTGTTTTTCAGCCATCAAGGTTCTGTGAAACTATTACATAGTTGTCAATCTACATCGGATCTTAGAAGGTGGGTGACAGACAAGTGAACAACCTGGAGACAGAAGAAGCTGGAGGATTTGACCTCAGATCCAGCTCTATGCATGAGGGTTAGGGAGGAAGTGTAGGCTGGACGTTAAGGGGATACACTCTGAAATCAATCTGTCTGGCCTCAGATTCCTTCTTCATATTTACATGGCCATAGAAATATCTAACATAATGCCTAGTACATAGTAGCCACTGTGTAAATGTTAGCTATTATTCTTATTCTTATCATTATTGCCAGTTAGTAATTTTGCAACCTTGACTAAGGACTGAACCCTCTAATCATCAACACTGTCACTGAGATAGTTAAATTAATAATGATTTCTGTATAACAGGATTTCAAATAAGAATATCATGTAATATATAAAATTATTTAAAAATGTTTGGTATCATAGAGCACCGATATGCCAATGTAAATTCATGAGCAGTAACTTTTATAGCCCACATTTCAGAAACACTTTAGAGCGGTGCTAGGCTCGCCAATACATTATTGCCATTGATACCACACCATTAAGTGTGTAACAAAGATGTTCCTTCAAGGCAATAAGTACACCCGCACTCAAGGCCTTCACATTGTGGAATAAAATGATCCAAACAATCAATTTAACCTC